CTCATTAAAACTTATGAGTCATGATTCCATCTGGTTATGTTTTACATATATTTGTTACTTGCTATGCGGTAATGTCAAAAAAAAAAAAAAAAAAAAAAAACGCGCATCAGAAGCATTTGATAATACTTCATAATGTGGCAGACCAAGGAGCTTTTTCTTATTCTGCTTTAGCCTTACGAATTTCCCGCCTCCCCTCTATACCTGTCTGTGTCCGGATGTTCGTTTGTCCGCCATTCTGTCTCACATACAAACGACGATAGTTGGTTAAAGATAACCGCTCTTGTTACCTGAATTGCCATAAGTCGGGGTATTTTTATCAGACTTTAAATTCGCTGAATGTCGTTTGTGTCATTCAGAAACGCAGGAATCACTGAATGGCAAAGATAAACACAAACTATAATTTCATTCCAAGAAGATGCGTCTGGTAAATAACGGACTTTTTGCTTTGCAAATTTGAAAGCAAAATACCTGGAAGGTGTGCAAATCCATCATGTAGTTAGTTTGCGCAGCTCAGTGCCACAGACATCAGCATCTTCAAGCCGAACGGAGAACTCTGGAAGAAAAGTGTAAACTGGCGGGACAAATGCAGCCAAGGCGATGCCGATAAGGTGACCGCTCGCGACACTTGACACGAAGGAAGAAGCCCGTCTCTGTTCTCCCGCGATGGTATTGATTAATATCACCTATCAGTCTCAATTAGAAGCGCGTACCTGGCAAGTTTCTGAATAGATTTATCGTCTCTTGGTAAGGTTTCTCAAGTTTCACTGGCATCCTGGAAGAATCATCATAGTTCTAGAATTTTCCCAAGTGCGTCTCCGATCATGAGAAGCGATCCAGTTGGTGTTTTACAAGTCGCGATACTGTGAGGTAACTTATTCCTTTGCTGTATGACCAGCAAAAGGTCGAGTCTTCAGTGAAAAATCGAAACCCTCTCTGCCTAAGCAACAAAAATCACACTATTTAGGTGTTCAAAACTTAATTATCTCAACGCACACAAAAAATGCATTCTCAGTCCCAGTATTTTTGGCCGGTTGGTTAAAATTTCGCGAGGTCCGACCGAAAGAATATTCTTCGTGCAGACGTGCATGTACACAGAATTAAATACATATCTATTTGGCTAGACATGCATATCTACCGGAGAGATAGATAAATGAATATCTATCAGACAGATAAACAGATCTGCATTAAATTTCTGTGTATATGTATGTCCGTATCTATGAATATTCATGGGGTAGGGCCTTGTGCAATTTAACTGGCCGTTTGTCATTACTGCGCTCAGCGAGAATGCGCAGCTGTTGGATTAAGTTTAAATATAAACAAAACTAAGCGTCTATTACTGGAAATTAAATGAAATGTTGAGCACTGTATACTAATTTATCTAGTTTTCACTGCATTAAGATTGTAAAGGTAAGATGTTCCATAACTTTTTTTTTCTTTGGGGGGGGGGGGGGTCATGTAATCAGAAAATGGAAACCTATCAAAGTAGCTATATAAATCATAAGAATACAGGATGTGATCGGAGCGGATAATAATGAACAGTAAAAAGGTCTATAAAGATTAATATAGGAAATTGACTAGAGAAATGGTATCTGCCAGCGATTACGTCTGTTTGCCTGCCTCTCTCTCTGTCTCCCTCCCTTCCTGCTTCTTCCTTCCTTCCCTCCTTCCTTCCTTCCTTCCTCCACCCTCCTTCCTTCCTCCTACCCTCCTTCCTTCCTCCTACCCTTCCTTCCTTCCTTCTTCCTTCCTTCCTTCCTTCCTCCCTCCCCCCTCCCCTCCCCTCCTCCCTCCTCCTCCTCCCTACCTATCTACCGTCTCCCTCCCTCCTCTCCTTACCCCCTCCCCCTCTTTCTCTCTCGCACGCACTCTCTCTGTATCATCCCTTTTGATTCCAGCGTCGCAAAGCTCTACGTGCACACACTCTAGCCAAAAGATGAGATGGAGTACGCTTTTGAATACTGTTTTGGCTATCGGGATCAAAGAACGTTTAAGTATGAGGAAAAGCCCGGAGCTATATGCGTTCGATTTTTTGAAATTAGAATGAAAAGTTTTTTGTGTATGTGCACAGCTTAATGTTTAGTTACATTTTTACTGAGTTGCAGAAGAAGGCATTATGTGAAAGATGTATGAAGACGAATAAAACATGATTGCAGACAGGATGAATTACAGAGAAATGGAGAATTTTGTTACTGCCGTTCAATATGATTTCCTGGAAAAAAGAAATCCATCTTCATCTTTCTCAGAACGTATCTGAACATATGAACGGGAATTAATTTGTTCCTCTGTCGAATAAATATTATGACCCCGATTGTACAGATCTTCTTTCTCATCCCTACAAGCTATATACCTACCTGTTAATTCATGAAAATTATATGATGTACACAAGACAGAGCACAGTAAACGATCAACACCAAATTCTCCTGAAAACATTATTCATGAAAAAAGAAAACATCCTACATAACCATATATTATTCCTTAACTATAAGATAGGAGGGAAAAGTATGCAACTGGGAAGGTACCCCCTTGCAGATGGTTCCTGTCAGGTTCACCAGAAAGGAGCAGTTTATGGTAAGACAACACACTTAAGAGGACTGATCCATACCTTTTTCCTTCCCAGCGCTGCTACAAGCCCTCACACGGAGATAAAAGTGTGTTATATGGTCCCATATAAAAGACTTTTACTCTATATGCTAATTCTTGCTCATATTACTCTAGCTGAGGCAGGTTACAGCGCCCATGCCAAGGAGAGAATCCGCAAGCAAACAGAACGACTAAGAAGAAAAAAACCCGCAAATCAAAGAAAAGTATTTTGTTATCGTTATCGGCCTGCATAACACAGCGACAGCCTTTTAACTACATTATGAGGTACTTATATAAGTAAAGATAGCTTTGAATTATTACCATGCCAATGATTTAAGGCATTTATACATTCCACAATTAAGAGGACGCTTTCGGAAAACAGCAGTTACCACAGAGCATCGTTATCAAAACAATACAAAATCCATGTAAAGAAGAAAGGAACAGAGGGGAGAAAAAGACACATTTCCTCGGACCAAACATTACGGTCGGTTTTATGGAATGCCAGTAGCGGGTTCTCGTCCGTACATTTTTCAGTACTCGCTCAAGGGACCGAGGTCGAGACCCTTTGGCCCTATATAATTTCTGGAAACTCCGCGTATATGTTGGGTTTTCTCTACACCGGCGTTATTCATCCGCTTCAGTTCATTAAATCAACTCATGATTTTCTTCCTGCTGACTGGAATTGACCTTCGTATCGGGGTGACTGAGGGGAGTTTACAAAGGAAAGGTCGCACGGTCGCTGTTCCTTCAACCGTACCCGCAGTTTTCTCTACTTGTCTGCTTGTTTTTGCTGTTACCGTTTCCATAGCCTGTGGCCGGGGTGGATAAAGAGCGCGTGTCAATCAGAGGTTGGAGCCGGGTCTGTTCCCCGCGGATACACGCGGTTTACCGAAAGGATTTCCAGCGACATTGCGTATGTGAGGCTGAAGTTGCCTTGGTAACCAGGAGGAGGTGGCTTTATTTTAGAAATGGTACACCCAGCGCATGCGTGGTGCTTTGCAGGAATTCTAGATATGTTTCAAATATGTATAAACACAGGAAGGGGCGGACGCAGATGGAATGAACACACAGCCACAATAAGGAGACTGTTATTGTTGCTGCTTTTCATTTCATCTCGGTGTTTGGTTATCGTACTGTCCCGTTGTCTGTGTTTCTATCTCTATTGCGCGTTAAAATTACCCTACCAAAACCCATAGCCAGTAAGAGTACTCATTTTAAGCAAATGCTGAATGACCGTTTAGAAATCTCCTAAGGGTTGTCCCGACTTGCAAGAGGTCGTGGACTCCGAGTAATCTTGTGAACTTTTCCTGACAATGAATATGAGACAGTTGATATGCCTAGGAGATAGTCCTGTTATGAACCACATTTATAACGAAGGAAGCACGAGCCTTGGCCAGACATATTGATAGGGGCGACGGAGGCACCTTTTTCATTTTTTCATCGGTGTGATTTGTGTGTCCACTAAAAAGGTTGATTTCGATGTTATTAGTATGTGTGCCCTTTATTCTCAGGTTATTGTAACTATCTATTCTCTCTCTCTCTCTCTCTCTCTCTCTCTCTCTCTCTTCTCTCTCTCTCTCTCTCTCTCTCTCTCTCTCTCTCTCTCTCTCTCTCTCTCTCTCTCTCTCTCTCTCTCTCTCTCTCTCTCTCTCTCCTTCTCTCCTCTCTCTCTCTCTTCTCTCTCTTCTCTCTCTCTCTCTCTCTCTCTCTCTCTCTCTCTCTCTCTCTCTCTCTCTCTCTCTCTCTCTCTCTCTCTCTCTCTCTCTCTCTCTCTCTCTCTCTCTCTCTCTCTCCAGCTTCTCTATTCCTTCTTTAATATTTTCTCCTCTCCTATTTCTTTCTTCTCCCTCCCATCCTTTTTCCCTCATATCTCCTTCTGTTTATCAATTCAGTTCAGTAAATCAATTAACGAATAGAACCATCCCCTTCCTACATTTATTCATCCACTTTCTGATTAATCTATCTCTTCACCCACGCCTTCCTCCTCTTTCTTATCTCTTTTCTCTTCACTTGTTATTCTGTGCCTGAACTCGTTATCTTCATTGTTTGACGGAGAGGCCAACTCAGCTTTCTTTATGCGCCATAAAAGGTCTAAAAATGCTCAATAGTTGTGTAATAAACTCAAGATATTGATTATCAACCCATATCATGTTATTCAAGTGTCTTTTCATTGTTATTATCGAAGAAGCGAAGCCAACAATGTCTTTTTACGGTGTTAAAACCAGATCCCAGAACAGAACACGTAGTCGCGCCTTTGTCCTGGCTGACGGCAGATTCCGCAGCCAAGACCCGCGACAAGAGAAATCACGGAAGCGCAACAAGTGGGACCATACTATTGCAGGCATGAGTGGAAAACAGCAACAAAGTGAATTCCAGGCTATGATAATAATTCGTTTGTCTCTCTCTCCCTCTCCCTCCAGTTGGTGTGCAACGGGATGCTCTTCGCTTGCGTGAACGTGGCGGGTTTGTTCACGCACTACCCCGGCGAGGCGGCAAGGAGACAGGCGTTCATCGAGACCCGTCAGTGCATCTCCGCCCGGATGAACACGCAGCGCGAGAATCAGCAACAGGTAAACAGAACTCGCTTATGGGTGCAGAGCAGTTGCTTTTGCCGCTGTTGTTGTTGTTGTTGTTGTTGTTGTTGTTGTTGTTGTTCTTCTTCTCCTCCTTCTTGTTGTTGTTGTTGTTCTCCTCTCTTCTCTTTTCTTTCTTCTTCTTCTTCTTCTTCTTCTTCTTTCTTCTTCTTCTTCTTCTTCTTCTTTCTTCTTCTTCTTCTTCTTCTTCTTCTTCTTCTTCTTCTTCTTCTTCTTCTCCTTCTTGTTTGGGAAATTGAGGGACTTTGTATTCCATTTGCATGGGCGTGTGATTGGACTTGGCGTGTCAGTCTGGCAATAGGTATTAGTTTCCCTTTATGAGGAATGCTTTATTTCTAAAAGTTTTATTTGCACGCATCCCAGCCTCATATAACGATACATACATGTGTGTGTGTGTGTGTGTGTGTGTGTGTGTGTGTGTGTGTGTGTGTGTGTGTGTGTGTGTGTGTGTGTGTGTGTGTTACATATTTGTATGTGTATATATATATATTATATAAACAGACATGAATATATATGTACATATATATGTATACATATATATATGAGTGTGTATATATATATATATATATATATTATATATATATATATATATATTATATATATATATATATATATATAATATATATATATATATATATATATATATACATCATATATTATAATATATATATTATATATATATATATATAAATAGGGATGACAAATCCGGTCTAAGATATTGGTGCAGTTATCGCTGTTTTGTTTTTTATGGTCTGTATATTTATTACTCCGCGAGATAAGTAAATAATACGAGGAAATGCACTCTCGCCTTCAAGTTTTATCCCATGTAAAGTAGAAATTCGAGGAAATCAATTTTCGTTACCCAGTCGCCTTACCACCCCACCCCGGCCACCCCCGGCCACCCCTTTCCCTTGGCTCCGATTGGCCCCTAATAGGGACGACGTCTCTCGAGATGCTGCTTGATCCTAGGGACATTCAGCAAGGTCTGGCGCTATCAACAAGGCACTCCAGCATGCGACCTGCTGATTGCCACGGCCGAGTGTCTTATTACAGAGTTCAGTGCCGCACTCGGGTCGAACAGCAAGAATAGGGAATAATGATGAGAATTCCTGTAGAATAAAATGTCTAGTGATGGTGTAAAAGATTTATACAAGTGTGGGAAGTGTACGAATGGGTCCAGAATGACATGTGCACGGTGCATGCATGGGCGGTCAGAATCACCCCTCCCTCTCCCTCTCTCACCCATGACTTCACTGACAGAGGGATCTCTTCCTCCCTTTCCCTCTCTCACTCATGACCGCACTGACAGACGGTCCTCTCCCTCCCTCAGCCTCACACACGAACGTCGCTATCGGCAAAAGCGAGTTTACCTCCGCCCTTCTACAGTGCCTGCTTCACTATATAATTAAGACAATATACAATGGCTCAGCGAAACTTCATTATCAGCGAAGAAACACGATATGAGGTGCGGAGCGGGTATGGGAGGAATCGAGATCATGTTCAGTATAAGGGAAACGAGGGGGGGAGGGGGAGGGCAATAAAGGGAAAGGGAACGGAATATGATGAGGACTGTGAAAGGAAAGGGGGAATATGAAAGGGTCAGTAAATGGAAGGAGAGGGAGGATAGGAAGACAGTAGGAAAGGGATGATGGGAAGGAATTTGAGATCAACAATACATGGAAAGGAAAAGGAGTATGAGGAATTCAGTGAAACAGAAGGTAAAAAAAATGTTTAGTAACTATAAAACAGGAGGAAAATGAGAACAGCAAGAGGATAGTGACGCAGGGTCGTCCTCATTACTGCATTCATATTTACACAGACACAAGTGTAAGAGTAGACTCACAGCGGACACACTAACCCCCTACGTACACTTCCAACACACATATGTTTATTCTGACAAACCTACAGCACCTATGGGAATCCGGAGGGACGGGAGACGGGAGAGGGGAGAGAGAGAGAGGAGAGGAGAAGAAAAAGAAGAGAGGTGTATTATTCCCAGAAAAGCCTGCTAAGCCAACAGAGGACTGGGATGGATGGAGACATAAATTCAGCGGAAGTTCCTTAGACCGGGAATGTTCCCAATTTAAGAGGATATAGGATCAATCGCGGGAAGAGGAGCATGTGGCTGGGACAGACAGCGGGATGCCGTCGGTACTCGCGAGGGAGTGATGGGGATCAGTGTGTAAAGACGGGGAAGGTTTTGTGAGTTTAAGGAGGCATAAAGTCACGCTGGAGGATTCAGACGGGCCATTGCGACGCCCATTAAAGGGAGGAAATGTGGAAAGAAGACAGTGCACCCATATATTAAATTTACACAAGACATACATACGTTGCACGTTTCGTGTTTTCCAAGAGAATAAAGACACACATTAGTGCTGTAATAAAAGACACCAAGAAAAATGACAAAATTTCCATGATTAGATAAAGACAACAGCAAAAAAGGAAAGGAGATAAATCACAAAAACAAACCCAACATGGCCTAATAAGGAGATAAAAACACAGAAGAAGAAAAAAAAATCGAGGAAAGTTTCAAGGAGGAGCTAAGATGCCCCAGGAGTAGCGCGCACCACCTGGAAACTACGCGTGTAAAGGAGATAATAAGACGCGATGGGGGCAGATTATGGAAATCAGTAAGAGCATATGGCCGTAACAGTGTAGATATGCAAATACCAGGCAACTAGAAGGTATAAAAAGAAGCTACCGATGGCCCTGCGTGGTAGGTTCAACGCCGGGGGGTTGCACTAGCTTCCCCTTAGCCGTAGAAGGTCCGTAGAACCTCAGAGGAAGGCTGCGTAATAAGCTCTAAGGTAAACTGGACTGCCCATTCGGTAAAGTCTGCAGGAGGATAAGGGGAAAGGCAAAGTTTCCGCTCGTTAGATTTAGAAATTAGATGGCCGAGAGATGAAGTTTTAAGAGCAACGTAGTCCTCTAACTGAGGTTGAAGAAATGAGGAAATAGAGAGAGAGAGAGAGAGAGAGAGAGAGAGAGAGAGAGAGAGAGAGAGAGAGAGAGAGAGAGAGAGAGAGAGAGAGAGAGAGAGAGAGAGAGAGAGAAGAAAAATAGTTAAAGCAAAACACAAAACAAAGCAATGGAGAGGGATTAAGGATGTTTATCAAGTCTTCCAAAGCGAATCCAATCCCCCTCCAGACAAATTATTCCCTCGAAGCGTTTAACCGTAAAAGACTCTCCGCTCTATTACAAGGAATATCAGGTGCAGGTTATCCGATCCCCAACAAAAGGCCAGCCAGAGTTGTTCCCATTGTCTTCTTGGTGCTTCCCGCGTTCGCTGCGTGGATACGGAACACGATTTCCTAATGAGTCTTCGATGTGGGGTTAGCGCCACTTGTCCTTTTTTGTTTTTTGATTGCTCCTTGTATCTCCCGCTGCGCCGTTCAGAAGGGAGGGTCTGACGGAGAGCCGTTTTGACTGTCACTTTTTTTTCGTTTTGTGTTTGTATGTGTGTAATTGGGGAAGGGGAGGGGGGGTAGGTCAGTATCTGTTGGATAGCTTTGTTGTGTTTTGACCATTCTTTTTTATTTATTTATTTATTTTTTATTTATTTTTTGTTGTTATCTGGAAACAAATTTATCACTGTGCACACTGTTTACATAGAGTATCTAGATATACATACACATATGAAGCTGCATGTATTAAAGGAAAGCTGATGACAGTGGTGGGATACGCATGGTACCAATATCAGCTGATGCTTGTACGTGGTCAAAATTTGCTCTGCGGAATCGTAAGCATCAATTTCATGTTGACTTGTCCCGATGTCAAACTCTTGATTAGAAAAAAAAAAACTTTAGCATCCTCCCCCCCCCTTCCTCCCTCTTCCATGACGTCAGAGGCGGAGTGGGCAGATATTAATGCTAAAGGTCAATATGTGTTGGAAGAAGTTGCAGATAAGCTTTCTAAATTCGATGTATGCTATGCGTTCCTCATATCCTGTGGTAAGGGATTCTCGGGTTGGTGCAGGAATTCTGTTTTATTTTATATTGTTTTAATGGAAAACTGTAAGAGAGATAGACGGGGGAAAGGGGAAGGGGAAGGGTAAATAGGAAAGGATTGGGGGAGAGGGAGTGAGAGAGAGTGAAAGAGAAACCCAAAAAAAAGGTGCTATTTTTGGTTTTGTAGTATGCTACTTGTGTTACCTCTGCCTTTTTTTTCTTTTTAAAAATGTTATTGTGTTTTATGTCCACTCCTGCGGCCTGCTATAACCCTCTCTGCGCTCACTTACAACTTACAACCCTCTGGACTGGATCTGATGTCGATATTTTCAAATTCCCCTTCCTCCTTTTTTTAACTTTATCATTCTAAGCATCCTCATAGTCATCATTATCATTACCATCATTTTCATTAACACCATCATCATTCATCATCATAATGAATATGATAGTGATAGTGATAATGATGATAATGATAACGATAGTATTAATGATAATGAACATGATAATGATAATGAACATGATAATGATAATAATGATAATGATAATGATCAGAATGATAGTGATAAAGATAATGATAATGATAATTGAATGTAATAATATTGATAATGGTGATAACAATGACAATAATAATTATAATGATTCAGATAATAATAATAATAATGATAATGATAATAATAATAATGATAATGATAAAGATGATAATAATAACAATGGCAATAACAATGACAATAACAATAACAGTAATGTTAATAACAGTAAACGTAGTAATAATGCTATCAACACCTCCCTCGCCGTACCTACCAGCCTCTCTCTCTCTTCCCCCCATCATCACCGTCCTTCCCTCTCGCCTCCTTCCTCAGCCACAATCATGGTTCACCGTCGAGGCTTCTCCCTTCCCTTCCCTCCTAAGACACGATCTCGGATTATCCCTGAGGCCGTCAGCAGGACCCACGCCTCGCCCGACGGATGGCCTGTTCCGTCTGCTGCTGAACTTTCGTTTATTCTATTTCTTTGTTTGTTATTGTTGTT